ACTTCTGAAAAATAAGTTAATGCCTCAGTGGGCTTTGCCTGGTAGGATGGGGGTGGATTCGTTGTATGTGTAGGTGTTTGGGTGATTTGTTTACCTTTCCTTGTACTTTGAACTACTATAGTGTTTGTGTGTTGTGTGTGTTGTTGTAACGTTTTATATCCCGTGATAAGAACGTTACATCTGTGAAAAAAACTGCTTTGTAACTCATCAGATTCCTCCTGCAGTATAAATAAATATTCCGATTATGATTCTGGGGGAGCGGTCGTGCAGTGAATACCAACGCGCTGTACTCCATACTACAACCCCAGATCCGAGTTCGATTCCCGTTCACGGCTACCACCACCATCGGTGATTATCACCTGAACCGGTCCTGGGCCTCCCCCAGGTCGACTCAGCCTCAAATGAGTACCTGGTGCGGTGTGTAAAGTGCTGTTAGTGAGTAGCAGCGCCTATGAAAGCCGGTGCTGTGGCACACGAGGGATGGGTGGCCAAAACCGCGCCCCGGCCACTGCACCAGGTACTAATTGTTTTGGCTGAGCGGACCTAGGGGAGGCCCAGGTCCGATTCAGATAATCGCTATCACTGGTGGTAGTGGCCATGAGTGGGAATCGAACTCGGGTCACTGGGTTCGTAGTGGAGCGCACAAACCGCTTACACTACCGCTTAAGCATACATACACACATACGCAGCAAAATAATCCGAAATAAGTATAACCCGTAAAAACTAAGTTTTTCACTATAAATCATTTATATGCGTGGCGGCTAGAGTCCTCTCGTCCTCTGGCTTGAGATGGCTGCCACCTATGGATTTGATGATTGCATTGCACCATTAAGCAATTGGTAATTAAATATAATATTTTTGTCCTAAAAAGTGTAAAATTTTGGAAAAAAATTTCACGAACATTAATTGTCACGCACAACGAGTCTGTGTGGAAAATGTCAGCTCGATTGGATCACGGGAAGTGGGTTAAAAAACGACCGAAAGATTTGCACGGTCCAAAGCAAGCAAGCGAACTTAATATAAAGGATTTAAAAATCCGTATGCCAGAGCCCAGGGGGACAGGTGTATATGACATACCGTGGTGAAACCCCATCTGGTTAATATTTAACTCAGGATTACAGCTGTAAATGGACCCGGCACAAATAACACTCGAACTCTGCCCTACCCCAAACACTAACCCAAGCCCTAACCCGCACCTCCGATTAGCACGGTTGGCTACGTACACCAACAAACGCGATACAAAGAACGTACATACGTGCATGCCCCTATTCTACTCCTTTTCTATCCCTAACCTACCTCTATCATATCCATACTCGACTCCTACCCTACCCCTAGCCTTACCCCTTCCATACCTTTACCCCTATGCTACCCCTACCCCAACTTTACCCCTACCCTATCCATAATCTAACCCTTACCCTACCCCTACCACTAAATCAAGCACAACGCTTGTTTGGCGCAGTGGTAACATTTGTGGCCTTTGAACACCGGCTGCCCGGGCTCGAATCCCACTCTTTTGACACTACGTGATTGTGATATGTTAACTACCTTGCTTGGTATACAGAAAGTGGTGGTTCGATCCCGACCCTGACACCTGCTGTATAGTTGTAGTTTAAGTGGTCTCTCTCTCCCCATGGTCCGTGTAGATTTGTGTCCAGGTCCTCCGGCTGCTATATATGCCCACATGATATGCCAATTCTTTGAGCAGCTATCAGGTCGCTTCTGAAAAATAGTTACATAGCTCAGTGAGGCCGTACCTGGTGAAATAAAAAAAGTTTAAATCAGAATCGTTATGTATCTTGGAGGAAGAAATCCGATGAGCTATGAAACTCTTGATTTCCACAGACGTCCTATCGGGACAGGGGGGTAGTTACACCAACAACGCGATAAAAAGAACGACATAAGAAGAGCAAGATGAGCGATAGGTATCGAGAAGCGAGAAAATAACTAAATCAAGACAAATACAGGGGACTCTCGATTATCCACGTGTGGTTTATCCGATTTCCGGACTAACCACGCACCTGAGATTTCGACATAAATTAATAACTCATGGATCTTCCCTTCAGCCCAAATTAATAAGCTAAAAAACATTGTTACACGTTGTTATTCTGGGAAATGTGTATTAGAAGTCACATGGTGCTTAAGCGAACAAATGTGTTGCTACAGCTAATCCGAAACCCACGAGATCGCCTCCACAGTACAGTAGTTGCATATCTTTACAACAGTGGGGCGGAGTTTGATGGATGTTGATTGGCGTGGCTCTGCTTCTATCATCCACTCAGTGGGCCGAGTCTTCTGCAGGGCGGGGGTCAGAAAGTGTTATTATCACTGATCGGTCAATTGTCAGTTTTCGTTTTAAAGAGATCCGCGATATTTGAATTATCCGCGGCCATCCTCCCGCCATTTTAGTGGATAATTGAGGGTCGACTGTACATTTTATTTAAGACCGAAACGGAAAGCCTTATTCACCATTCTGGATAATCACCCTGATGAAGCTGCAGGTTGTTATGTTGTTCTTCTTCTTATCTAATCTAGGATTTTATATTGCGCTTTTGTCAGAGCACTTTACAAGAATAAAAAATTGTATATTTTCGATTTAAAGCTTTCGTGACTGCAGGGATTCATCTTCTTGGTTCTTTCGGTAAAGTCACGTAGAAGGGAAGTAATAAAATAATAAAAATAAAACATAATAAAATAATTCTCACGACGTTTCGGCCACAACGCAAGCAGCCGTCCTCCCCGACAGACCTGGTCTTCACCTGAGAATTATTTTATTATGTTTTATTTTTATTATTTTATTACTTGCCTTCTACGTGACTTTACCGAAAGAACCAAGAAGATGAATTGTATATTTGTTATTGGCTGGATGGGGGAAACGGATGCGATTTTATTGTTAGGGAGGGGAAGGTTGACAAGGAAGGGTGATGATAGGGAGAGGGAGAGAGAGGGATGAGGTTAGGAGGTGAGAAGGGGGAGTATGGTAAGGAAGGGTTGTGATAGGGAAAGGGAGGGCTAGCGCGGTTAGAAAGGCAAAGAATGGTTAAGGTTTTAAGGACGAGAATATGCTATTGAGATGAGATATAAGGGAGGAACTAAAACTGATGAGTGAAGTTGCCTGTTTGACGTGGAGTGGGAGTTTATTCCATGGAGGGGAGCCAGGAGGGCAAAGAAGCGGAAACGTGACTGAGCATCGGGAGGGGGGTGGGGAGCGTAGTGTTCTTGTAATCACCAGTAAAACGTCACAATTATTGGAATGTGTAAAATGTTGGTGTGAGTTTAACTCTCCAACACACAACAACCAGTTTCGTGCCGAACTAGTAAACTAGTTAGCACCACGTTTTGTTTACGTGACAAACCTTTATCGATTGGCTGTGTCGGGTGGTGGTTGTGGCGGCGTTTAACGACACATTTACACAGGGTGCTTAAAAAAAATGTGAACACTTCCGAGAATTTGCAACAATACCACGAGAAATGTGCCTCGAGGCTCTGGCGACCACCTTGAGAATATTCCAGGCATGTGTTGACAATGATGGCGAACAAGTGGAGACTTTGACTTTTTGAAGCTATTAACATACATTTGTTATCATGTTACAGTATATTATCTGTTCTTTTTCAATTAAAAACGATAGTCCCATGTAACTGTTAAGATGTTCTTAACTGTTAAGATGTTCTTAACAGTTATAAGAAAATATGCGTTTACGAAATCTAATTGAAAAAAAGCAATTCGTATGGATATTGATCTCTAAAGCCCTACTACGCATTTAAACAAATAAATAAACTATTGATAAAAGATTGAAGTACAAATTGCACGAGTAAATGCCTTCCTGCAAATTCGCCGTACCCCAAGTGCAAGCTTGCGGCACGGCAGCAAAAGAACAACAGCAGCACCAGACCACACCAAGACAAACAACACACAAGTCCCTCGATGGAATGCATTGCACTTTGAACTTTAACGATCGACGACACAGGGGTTGAGGTTCAAGATACCAAATAGCTGCTGTATCGCGCACTTATTCTCTGTTTCGGGGATTAAAATTGTTTAAGGAATATTTACGATGTTTAGGGAGGTAACTAGGTTGTTCCAAAACGTTGGTACTGGCATTGACTTTTTAACGTGATCTAACCCCTCCCCCTCCAAAAAAAATGCTTTATTACGAATAATAATATTGGTCGCTAAACCTTACTTATAACTGACTTTGTCACCCATTCCAATTTGTGTTCTAGGGATAGTCAAAGGGCAATTAGATGGACGTCTTCGGTTTGACAATGGGGTTAATGAATTAGCTAAGTATATAGTGCAGATTTGCCGAGAAGTATTTTATGGATTAACAGGGCCCAATGTAAAATTCTTGTTCCATCAAGTGATATGAGATTGGATTTTAAGTAAAGGTCACATTAGTGGGTCCTGTATGGCACATCCAGTGAACATCGAAGATCATAATGATCAAAGTGGGTTTAGTCTGTTTAATAATTCATTCGTAGCTGATTGGTGTCACAGTAGTCAATCAGTGGGAGAATGACAGCTTCCACAATTTGCAGGTGCAATCGAATGGGAAAACTGTACAGTATTTGTTTCTGTATAGAAACCCTATTTTTTTTAGACAACATTGGGAAGCCCTGTAAGATTTGATTCAGTAAACCCAAGCATTTGAAGCACTCTGTTTGTTCAATGATGTGGTGTATGATATCTGTAATAGGGGAGATGCAATGATACCGGATTTTGGTTTGAAGGAGCACGATCTTGGAGTTTATTTTTGGGATTCAATTGCCCCCGTTAATTCAGGAGCAATGGTCGTGATGACAATTGACATGGCATTAAGTAGAAATCGTGTGGGAGATTTTGTTTGACTTCGTATAAAGATTTGCCCGAGACGAGCATAACAATGCCAAAACTCTGTACCTTTTGAGAATGGCCTGATAGGTAACTCTCAAACCAGTTTATTGTACCGTATGAACGTTTCATTTGACCGCGGGTAGAATATCATGGTTAACAATATCAAAGGCTTTTGACAGGTCTAGGAATATTGCATAACAGTAGCGGACTTTATCTGGTTCTGATGATGATGTTGATGATGATATAGATTATGTTGATGATGATGTTTATGATGTTAATGATGATAGTGATAATGGATGATGTTGATGATGATATTCATGATGATAGTAATGATAATGATGTTGTTCATCACCACCAGAGCTCTGACAATGGTGAAGATGAAGATGATGGTGGTGGTGGTGGTTATGATCAACACATTGGTAATGATGTGACAGGATAAATGCATATGTGGGTGGGTGGATGGGTGAGTGAGTGGGTGAGTGAGTGAGTGTGTGCGTGGGTGACACGGACTGGAGAAAAGATAGTCTAACGCTATACAGGAGGATGTGGAGCTGAGCGGACTTCCCAATGACTGGTACCAGCGGTGTCAAGATCACTCTCTATGGAGGAAGCTTGTGAAGGACGCTATTGGGCAGTTGTAGGCAGGCGCCCTCCAGCAACAACGGAGGGCAGAGGAGTGACGCTCACAACAACGAGCGGAGCACCAGGAAGCTAAAACGCAGAGAGTTGGCACAGGTGGTGCATCTGCCAATCATCTCAACTAATTCAATACCGTGACCTGCCAGCGAGTCTATTAAACTTCACGTTGTCTCAAATTGCACATATCTGGGCACAAACACTCTCGTGACGGAACCTCCACTTAGTGGGAAATTTATGTTTTTGTTGTTGGTTGAGTAAGTGGGTGTGTGGGTGAGTGAGTGGGTGGTTGGGTCAGTCGGTGGGTAGGTGAGTGGGTGGGTGGGTAAGTGAGTGAGTGGGTTAGTGGGTGGGTAAGCGAGTGGGTGAGTGAGTGAATGGGTATGTGAGTGGGTGGGTCAGTGGATGGTTGGGTATGTGGATGAGTGGGTGTGTGAGTGGGTGGGTGAGTGGGTGAGTATGTGAGTAGGTGAGTGAGTGGGTGAGTGAGTAGGTGAGTAAGTGGGTGAAATAATTGGTGAGTCAGTGAGTGCGTGCGTGCGTGGGTGGGTGTATGGGTAGGTGTATGAGTGAGTGGGTGGTGGAGTGGGTGAGATAATGGGTATGTGTGCGACTGCATAGGTGGGAAAGTTGCGTGATTGAGTGGGTGGGTGAGTCAGTGATTGAGTGGGTGATTGAGTGGGTGAGTGGGTGATTAAATTGGTGAGTTTGTGAGTGGGTTATTTGGTGGGTGAGACAGTGACTGAGTGGGTGAGTGAGTGAATGGGTGAGTGGATAAGTGGGTTAGTGATTGAGTGGGTGGGTGAGTCAGTGATTGAGTGGGTGATTGAGTGGGTGATTGAGTGGGTGGGTGAGTCAGTGATTGAGTGGGTGATTGAGTGGGTGAATGGGTGATTAAATTGGTGAGTTTGTGAGTGGGTGATTTGGTGGGTGAGACAGTGACTGAGTGGGTGAGTGATTGAGTGGGTGGGTGTGTGAGTGAGTGGGTGATTGAGTGGGTGAGCATGTGAGTGGGTGGGTGAGTTAGTGATTGAGTGGGTGAGTGTGTGAGTGAGTGATTGAGTGGGTGAGCATGTGAGTGGGTGGGTGAGCATGTGAGTGGGTGGGTGAGTTAGTGATTGAGTGGGTGGGTGAGTGGGTGATTGGGTGAGTTAGTGATTGAGTGGGTGAGTGAGTGGGTGAGTGAGTGGGTGAGTGAGTGGGTGATTGGGTGAGTGAGTGGGTGGGTGGGTGAGTGAGTGGGTGTATCACTTTCTCTCCCCACAGGCCAAAATCTGCCCTGGAGGCGCAACCACCTTCTCTCCGTCCTGGTACACGGCCAACTCCACCAATTGGACCTCTGCCCCCACAGATTCGCATACCCCAACCGCTTACGTGGCCCCTGCCAACAGCAGCAACAGCTGTATATCGGTCAGTGCTCTGGGTGTAGTGTTGAGTGTATGGATCTCAGTGTTGAGTCGATGGGCAGTGTTGAATATATGAGCAGTGTTGAGTCCATGGGTCTCAGTGTTGAGTCTACGGTACACACAGTGTTGAGTCTACGGGCCGGATTGAATCTACGGGTGGCAGTGTTGAGTATATAGGCAGTGGAGAATCCATGGGCAGTGTTGAGTATATGGGTCTCAGTGTTGAGTCTATGGTGCAGTGTTGAGTTTGTAGGTCTCAGTGCTAAGTCTGTGTGGCCTCCAGCTGCTGCCGCTGGGCCTGGGTCTGGGCCTTGGATTGGGGCTGCCACTGCTGGCTGTGAGCTCCGTGCTCTGCTATCTTCTCCTGCGTGGCCGGTGTGCACGCACAACCTCCAAGCCCCCTCCTGTGAGAGTCACGCACTCATCCGCCCACTCACCCGCCCACTCACCCGGCCGTCTGGAACGCTCTTCCTTCCGATATTAGAAAGCCACTGGAGCTATTCACTTTCACATCTCGAGTGAAAACTAATTTCTTTAGAACTGCGTATATCTACGTACGGTGCCAAAGACGTTCAACACACATACATGCATTACCAATCACGCAGTCAGCCACAAACTCAACTATCCACCACCACCTCCACCACCCCAGCCTGGCAATGGGAGGCCAGGCTGCCAGGCTGTATCCTACTTGCTGTAGCTTAACATTTCCACCCCCCCACTTCCTACAGGAGGAGGAAGGACAAGAGGCGACCCACGAAAAAGTCAGATACGTCGCAAGGACACAGAGCAGCGGTCCCCAGGTGGTCTATGAAGCTCTGCATGTTCTTGGACAAATATACCTGCGGACCCGACTGATCTGTCATAGGGGCCGTCCATAAATGACGTCATGCACCTAGGGGGGGGGGGTCAGACATTTGTGACGATGTGTGACGAGGGGAGAGGAGTTGAGAAATGTGACGTCACATGGAAATGCGCAACTCTAAATAAATATAGACACGTTCTACTTAATTAAATAGACTTGTTAATAAATGTTTTCTCCTACAACATCAGAGTGCAGCGCCACATTAAATACGCACTACAATGACAATAGTTTAAAGCGATTTGAAGCATGTTTTTTTTTTGGGGGGGGGGGGGGCAGAGCTTTGTGACGTCATATTTGAGGGGGGGTCTGACTTTTTGTGATGCCGTGTGACGAGGGGGTCAAAAATCGTCCAAAATCGCGTGACGTCATTTATAGAGGGCCCCATGCGATTTATCCACTACGCTCTGCAGAGCAGGACCTCCTCTCCACCAGCCTCGGCTCTTGCGCTCGACGCTGGGGGGGGGGGGGTGTCACGCCTTCTCAAGTGTTGCCCAAAGGATCTGGAATGCCTCGCCGGTTGTGATCCGGCACACGAACGAGTTATCAGTGTGTTAAATTTCGATTTAAAGCTTTCGTGACTGCAGGGATTCATCTTCTTGGTTCTTTCGGTAAAGTCACGTAGAAGGGAAATAATAAAATAATAATAATAAATGTAACATAATAAAATAATTCTCACGACGTTTCGGTCACAACGCAAGCAGCCGTCCTGAGGTGAAGAACAGGTCTGCCGGGAAGACATTCAGACGCTGTCTTCCCGACAGACCTGTGGAAGACAGCGTCTGAATGTCTTTCTGGCAGACCTGTTCTTCACCTCAAGACGGCTGCTTGCGTTGTGGCTGAAACGTCGTGAGAATTATTTTATTATGTTTATTTTTTTTTCCCTTATCAGTGTGTGTTTAGGAGGGAGTGCGACACTCACTATTTTCTCATTGGCTTTTACTTGAACGTAATTTTATTGTCTTTGCATTTCATTTCAGTGTACAATGTTTTGATACCCCCCTTGAGTGGAGGTGATGTTACATTCAAAATAAATACAGTGTTAAGGTGAGAGAACACCACACACTAGGCCACGTACAAAGCTCCCCCACAGGCTTCTCCTCCTGACATGAAACTAAAATAAACTAATTAATTTTTATTTTACCAGGTAAGGCCCACTGAGCTGTGTAGCTCTTCTTCAGAAGCCACCTGGCCATCACGAACGACAGCAGCTCAAACAAGTGGCTGCAATTGTCACGAAGAAATGTACAGCAGCGGCCAAATACTCTTGAACGTATGGTGACATCGATTCTAAACATTTCTTTCTCACCCCCTCCACCTCCACCCCCCCTCTTCAGGTTTCGCCAACGAGTGACTACATGGACCCATCAGACGAGGACTATGCGAACCCAGATCAGCCGCAGGTGAATGAGGATGACGATAACTACGACGACATCCTCCCGTACAGACCGGGCAGTGCCACCGTCCTCCCAAATCGTGGAGTTCAGGGCTTGAAGCCTGAAACCTCCTCATCCTCCCCCCAGGACTTCCAACCAGTAGCAGCCCCCCGAGTCAAGCGACACGACCACAGCACAGGGTTACAGCAGCAGCCGCAGCTGCCGCCACGTCCACCCAAACCTGAGGCTGATCAACCTCTGGGATCCGCGGCCTCAAAGTCCCAGCCTCCTCCGCCGGCGAGAGCTCCAGGCCACGGGCTTCGACAGGTCCCAGATTCGGCTTCCAAACCTCTGCGATCGGAAGCGCTGCCACTCCGACTTCCACCGCAACAAGGGGGTCTTCCAGGATTGAGGGCTCCATCTCCTGCAGCTCAAGGTTACAGATCCCCAGCTTCTCATCTTCCACCGTTGCGAGGTCCAGGCACAGAAGTTGCAGGCTTCGGAGGTCCATCTCGCGAGGGCCAAGGCCCTGGATCTACGGGTTGCAATATCCAGAATCAAGGCCCCTCGGCCGATGGGCCCAGGCGTCCGAAGAGCGCACTATTTCCTCCACAACCCCACGGGGGTCGCAACGACAAGGGGGTTCAAGAGATGGACTCCGTTTATGAAATTTCCCCACCCTGAGAATGGCACTTACCCCCCCCCCTCGCAGCCTGTGTGGGCTACCTGGGGGGGGGGGTTACCTTTTATACGCGTGCATACGTCCGTTGGAACACAGCAAGTTGCTAGCGGGCCTTCAACAATTCACGTGGCCTTAAAGGGCACATAGCATGACACAAGTGCCGTGGTGACATCACCGCCACCTAGTGGCGAATGGCAGTTGTTGTTGCTGTTGTGTACGTACGAGCGATAGTGTAGCGGATTAGCGCTACAGTGCTACGAACCCAGCGAACCAAGTTCGATTCCTGCTCACGGCCACCAACACCAGTGATAGCGATTATCTGAACTGATCATGGGCCTCCACCTAAGTCAACTCAGTCTCAAATGAGTACTGGGTGTGGTGTGTAAACATTCACCACTGAGGAGACAAAGGCGGCCGGGCATAGTGTTGGCGACCAACCCCTCGTGTGCCGTGTCGGCCTTCATAGTTGCTCGCTAACAGAACTTGCGCCAAGTCTATTAGGGGGGTCTTTGTCTTTATATTTGTGTACGTGTGATGAGAGCAAGGAATTGTATTGGTTGAGTTCCTGATGCTATACACCCTGATCCCCTAAGTCCAACCCTGACCCCCTAAAACTCTCAAGAGACCCAGACTCACATAGAGACCCACAGAGTCGCAGATATACCCAGAGACCCAGACTCAGAGACCGATATAATCAGAGACCTACATACTCGCAGACCCATAGACTCACTTAGAAACCCATATAATCAGACCTACACTCTCAGACTCAGAGACGCATATGCTCTCAGACATATATACTCCAAGAGAGACCTACAGAATCAAGACACCTATAGACTCGTATAGAGACCCAGAGACTCACAGAGACCCATAGACGCTCATAGAGACCCACAGACTCACATAGAGACTCTTTGAGTACTCGGTGGCTGAGTGACGACATTGGAGGTGGACACAGTGGAGCAGCGTTCAGGGTGGAGTTTTTTTTTATTGGATCGCGATTTTTGCTGATTGTACAAAAATAAACACTGCTGGCAGAACAAGGCGTCACTCATACACTCCGCGCGGTAGTAATTGTGGTGGTGGTGACGATGACGATGCTTATGGTAATGGTTTTGGTGATGGCGGTACAGCGGTAAATGCACCGCACTACGAACCCGGCAGTGACCCGGGTTCGAAGCCCACTCACGGCCACCAACACCAGTGATCGCGATTATCTGAAACGGCTCTGGGCCTCCCCTAAGCCGACTCGGCCTCAAAATGAGTGCCTGGTCCAGTGTGAAAACATCGGCACTAGGGAGACATAGGCGGCCGGGCGTGGTGCTGGCCACTCACCCCCTCGTGTGCACAGTGCCAGCCTTCATAGGCGCTCGCATACAGTGTTTTCCAGGCTACACGGGGTTCTTTCGTCGCGTTGGTAGTATTTGTGATGGAAAGGATGGTGGCTCCATCGAGAATCTGCCAAAAAAAACTGCCAACACCCCTCCACCTCTCCACCCACCCATTCCCTCACCCCTCCATCTCCTCCTTACCCACCCCTCCACCTCCCCACACACCAACCACCACCTCGTCCACCTTGTCAATTCAAGGTCAAACGATCTAAGAATCATCATCATCACCGCCACCGCTGGCTCCGTTATCTTCGGGACGATGTTCTGGATCCCTCTCCTGCCCTTCATCATCACTGCCACCTTCACCACCACTACCCTCCTCGTCGTCGTCGTCCCCGTCCACCTCTTCGTCCAAGGAGAAGATGTAGTTGCTCAGGTCCACCTCATCAATGTCAGCCTGCGGTGATGCTGGAGAGGTTGAGGATGGCGATGACGACGATGGCGATGACGGCGATGATGAAGATGGAGAGGAAGATGTTGATGAAGATGGTGATGATGATCGTGATGATGACGACGACGACGACGTGTCTGAATTCTCAACGTCTTCGTCGTAAACCTGAGCACCGTGGAAAATGAAGCGACTCGGAGGGATGAAGAGGAACTCGTCTTCTGTGTGGGGAAAATGGGGGTGACAAGGTGGAGGGAAGAGGTGGGGTGAAGAGATGGTGTGAGGTTTGGAAGAGGGGAGGGGAAGAGGTGATGTTAAAGAGATGGCACTGCTAAAGCAATCATCATCACCACCACCATCATATCACATCAAACAAAGATCCCCTTAATTTGGAGCTTTCGTGACTGCAGGAATTGCTCTTTGGTTCTTTTGGTAAAGTCAAGTATAAAGAGAAAATAATAAATTAAATTTGCATTCTCAGGAAGAACATAATCAACCAGGTAGGGTGTTGACTGTTATGGTATCCGACTCTCTGTTGTATTACATTACATTTCTAAGTATACTAGATTTGTGTTTCTATTTCATTTATACCTGATGAGGATTGCTTGTGTTGCAATCGAAACGTCGTATGCTAGTATATAATTTATTACTTTCCCTTTATACGTGACTTTACCGAAAGAACCAAAGAGTAAAGATCCCCTTAACAGACTGTAGGGGCAAGTGCCGTTAGCGAGTAGCACGTATGAAGGCCGGAACTGTGGCACATGCACGATGGGGGTGGAGTGCCAGTACCACACCCAGCCACCTTTCTCTCCCCAGTGGTGATGTTTACACACCACACCAGGTGCTCATTTGAGGCCGATTCCACCTGGGGGAATCAAACTCGGGTTGCCGGGTTCGTAGTGCAGCGTAGCGCCAACAGATACACTACAGCTCCCCCCATCATCACATCATACACATCACCATCATCATCACCACCACAATTATCAGCAACATAACCACAATCGTAATCAGCATCCAACCCAGGATGGATCAGAGGCAGGACAGGCTATATGTTTCTCCTTCAGAGGGATCCACATTTTGCAAGCATATAAAAGGGAGAGCATAACTGAGGCCAATAAAATCCAGAGCTTCGTGTGGAGCGACAGACCGGGTAGTTTCCACGGAGCATTACGCAGCTAAATAAAAAGATATTGCCGCTCAGCTGATTCTGAGTCTGGTCATAAACACACTGCCCAACTCAGTGACTCTCTCCACAACTGCCCCATCACTCATGGGGAATTTAGCACGTGAAGTGTTTTATGACAAAAATTACCCAGGCAGGAGCTTAGTTTTTGGCGGGCTCATGGTAAGGCTCCACCTCTTAGTGGCACGCTCTAGGTTCAGCAGCAACTCCTCCTCCGAGTGAACAGCAATCACCAGATCAACAGCAAACATAACATGGTTGACCAATAGGGAGCCACCCCGTGACCAGACCCGGGCATCGATCAGCCTCCCATTGTATCTGTACCAGATGGAAATTCCTCCGGTACAGCCATAGAAAACTTCTCGAACCACGTGGTCGAAACAAATATAAAATAATGTAGGAGCCAGAGGACATCCCTGTCTTACCCACTGGCAGAGCCAGTGGGGGGGGGGGGGGGGTGGCAAGGCGATGTTGAATAATCCTTGCCATGCCCGTGTAGTTGTTACAGTCCGTGCAGTTCCCCTTCTTAAATAGGGGTCCAACCAACAGGGCATCTTTGCAATCCTGAGGAACCTGTCCAGCCAGTTGTAATGATGTAATATAGGGCAGTCTGCAAACGCCAGCCTCCCTCAGCAGTTTTCTTGGGCAATCATCTCTGCCCAGTGCTTTTCCTGGTCTCAGACTCTGGACCACTTTCTGTACTTCCACAACAGATGGCACCTCGACAAACACTCACAGGGTTTGTTTACTTCCTCCAATATTTGAGCCATAGCAGTCCTAGCAGGGTCAACCCTTCCTTTCCCCAAGATGTTATCTGGGATGAGGGATTTCCCCTCAGCCAAGACCTCACAGAAATGATCAGAAAACCTGCAAACCTGTTCCTGGGGGTCAGAGATCGGTTGACCATCCTATCCCTTAAGGATGCCGATAGGTGCGTTAAAAAGTGATTTGTGACCGTGAGCTGAGGCAGATTTCATTTCCTCAGCAATCCGCATCTGCTTTTCTGTCACTATATAGGCCTACTGTTGTTATTGAGCTGATCTGGCCCATACTTTCACTCCAGTCACTCCAGCCCAGATGCCTGTGTTATGACCCACTCGGGCATTAAAGTCCACCTTCTATCACGAGGGGCTACTTTAGCGAGAACATCTGACAGGTCATAGAAGGTATCCCTGCCTGCATCCATCCACTGATGTTCATCTTCAGTGGGGGGCATAAACAACCACCACCACCATTCCTCACCTTCCATTAATGGGGAGGAGAGTCCACAGTAGCCTGGGGCTCACAGCTTCCCACACCTCACTGCCACGCTTCCACGTCCCCTTCATTCTTTTGTTCAGAAGACCCACTCCCTGTTGTCTAGCAGTCTCCTGCTCCGAATGGAGGACTGTCCAACGCCATGGTGACTACAGCCAGAACCAGTCCACCGGACCCTCCTGCATTCCACAGAGATCCAGTCGGTACTGGACTAGCTCCTGAATAGCAGCAGCCTTTCCTCTGCAGTTAATCGCTCAGTGGATTTCGCCTGGTAAGATGAAAACAATCTTGATTTGAAGCTTTCGTGACTGCAGGAATCCATACTCTTTGGTTCTTTTGGGAAAGTCACATGGGTAGATAAATAATAGATCACAATTTTTTTTCTCAAAATTATTTTTCTACAGACGTGACTTTACCCAAAGAACCAAAGATGAAAACAGTTTAATTTCAGTTTAAGTGATTTGTTTACCTTTTCTAGGCTTCCATCGTGTTTCTCTATTGTTTGTTGAAACATTCTGACCCGCTCCAATTGGACATCTGGGAAACGGAGCTGTAAAGCTCATCGCATTCCTCCAGCATAAATATAGATTCTCACTCCAAGTGGCCACCCTCAGTAGTTTCCTCTTGTTTGTGGACGAACCCTAAGGGAGTGGGGCGATCCTTCTCCTGGCTCCGCCAAATGTGGTTTGGCCAGGAGACGTCATGGATACCTGTGCCCCCGCGGCCTCTGGCACAGGCTTAGTTTGGATCTTTTCTCTGTGGTTTCAGCAGTGATTGAGTTGAAGGTGGCGGGGGTCACCAGCCCTTCGAATGATGTCGGCCTCCCTCCAATGGCAGTGCTCACAGCCACCACAGCGTTACTGATCAGCAACCAACACCACCATCACAGCGTCACCACCAACACCGCACCTCCAATTAGCACAGTTGGCTATGTACGGTGCAAAAAAAAGTTCAACATATACACACATCCATACACCACAACTACAGAGTTACTGACCAACAACCACGACCACCACAGCCTCACCGAGAGTCAACCATCACCATCATGACCACCACCACCACAGGGTCACTGACAGTCAACCACCATCACCGACAGTGAACCACCACAGCACCACCGACCGGCAACTCAGACACACCAAAATCAGACCGGGGTGGACTGTGTCGATGATGGTACCTTTGAGCCGCTTGCCGATTGGCTCTCTCGTATCGGCCTCCCAGAATGCAGCGGGCTGGGGGCGCCCCCCTCCCAGCACGGCCGCCCCCTTCCCGTGAGCCTCTGACCCTTGCCCCCTCTTCCCACAATGCACCGGGGCGGCAGCACCACCCCCACTCCTCCTTCTCCTCCTCCACCGTCTCCGGCTCATCATGGCCGCCGCTTCCCTCGCCCCGGCCTCGGCCATTGCTTCCTCCGTCGCTTCCATCGCCGCTTCCAACATCGCACTCCTCGCGGCCTTCACCACCCTTGCTTCTCCTGCTTCTCCTTCTCCCCCTGCTTCTCCCCTTGCTTCTCCTGCTTCTCCCCCTGCTCCTGCTTCTCCCCCTGCTTCTTCTCTTGCTTCTCCGCCTGCTTCTCCCCCTGCCTCTCCCCTTGCTTCGCCTGCTTCTCCGCCTGCTTCTCCCCTTACCTCTCCCCCTGCTTCTCCCCTTGCTGCTCCTGCTTCACCCCCTGCTTCTCCCCTTACCTCTCCCCCTGCTTCTCCCCCTGCTTCTCCCCCTGCTTTTCCTGCTTCTCCCCTTGCTGCTCCTGCTTCTCCTTCTTCTTTTCCTGCTTCCCCCCTTGCTTCTCCTTCTCCACTTGCTTCTCCCCCTACTTCTCCTCCTGCTTCCCCCCCTGCTTCTCCTGTCACTGATCCTCCCCTTGTGTCTCCTGCTCGTCCCACTCCTCCCCCCACTCTCCTCCGCACTGCCATCGCTTCTCTCGCTATCCTGGCTTCTCTGTATGCTTCCATCGCTTCCCTACGCACCTCCCCCCTTGCTTCTTCCTCTGCTTCGGTTGCTTCCCTCCGTGTTTCTATGGCATCTCGCCATGCTTCTGTTGCTCCCTCTCTCGCATTCCTCTTCGCTTCTGCCAATTCTCTCGCTTCCCTCGCTTCTCTGTACGCTTCCACTGCTCCTCCCCTTGTGTCCGCTTCTTCGGTCCTCGCTCCTCCCCTCGGTTCCGTCGCTTGTCCAATCGATTCTCTCGCTTCTCCCCTCGATTCCGTCGCTCCTCCTCCCCTCGATTCTCTCGCTCCTCCCCTCGATTCTCTCGCTTCTCCCCTCGATTCTCTCGCTTCTCCCCTCGATTCTCTCGCTTCTCCCCTCGATTCTCTCGCTTCTCCCCTCGCTTCTGTCGCTTCTCCCCTCGATTCCGTCGCTTCTCCCCTTGATTCCGTCGCTTCTCCCCTTGATTCCGTCGCTTCTCCCCTCGATTCCGTCGCTTCTCCCCTCGATTCTCTCGCTCCTCCCCTCGATTCTGTCGCTCCTTTCATTGAGTCTCGAGTTTCACCCCTTGCTTCTCCCATTGATTCTCTCGCTTCTGCTCCCCTCGCTTCTCCATTTGCTTCCATCGCTTCTCCCCCCCTCGCGTCTCCACCCCGCCTCGTTCCTCCCCTCAATTCTTTCGCCGCTTCCGCCGCTTCTCCTGCGGCCTCCCCCCTCGCTTGCCCTCCCCCCACCCGCGCTTCTTTACCCCGCCGCTTCCCCCCACCCACGTGCGTCCGTTGCCAAAGCGTCTGCGCCCCGGGGGGGCAGAGCCGGGCCCAGGCACCCCCCAGACGCAGGCAGAGCTCCCCCACCACGGCGTCGCAGTCCCCCAGCAGCTCCACGTCGAAGGGGGTGGCCCCAAAATGGGGGAGAGGCTCGCGGTTAATGAGCACGCGGGGCACGCAGGGGGCCAGCCAGCCTGGAACGAGGGGTGGGGGGGAGGGGGGGAGAAGGGGAAGAATCTCTGTGTGAGTTTCTGTCTGAGTGAGTCTCTGTGCGAGTCTCTCCGTGACTGAGTGTCTGCGTGACTGAGTGAGTGTCTGCGTGAGTTTCTGTCTGAGTGAGTCTCTGTGCGAGTCTATCCGTGATTGAGTGAGTCTCTGTCTGAGTGAGTGAATCTCTGCGTGAGTCTCTGTGTGAGTCTCTGTGTGAGAATGCGAGTCTCTCCGTGACTGAGTGAGTCTCTCCATGACTGAGCGAGTCTCTGTGTGACTGAGCGAGTCTCTGCGTGAGTCTCTGCGGGAGTCTCTGTGGTGTGAGTCTGTGAGGTGTGAGTCTGCGAGTCTCTGAGTGAGTCTCTGTGTGAGTGAGTCTCTGCGTGAGTCTCTGCTTGAGTCTCTGCGTGACTGAGTGAGTCTCGGCGTGACTGAGTGAGCCTCTGAGTGAGTCTCTGGGTGAGTGTCTGCTTGAGTCTTTGTGTGACTGAAAGAGTCTGTGTGAGTCTCTGTGCAAATGAGTCTTCGTGACTGACTGAGTCTCTGTGTGCATCTGTTTGAGTGTCTGTGCGAGTGAATCTCTGCGTAAGTCGCTGTCCGAGTCTGTGTGTGACTGATTGAATCTCTGCGTGAGTCTCTGCGTGAGTCTTTGCGCGAGTCTCTGCGTGAGTCAATGTGCGAGTCAATATGCGAGTCTCTGTGTGAGCGAGTATCTGTGTTAGTGAGTCTCTGCGCAAGTCTCTATGCGAGTGAGCCTCTGTGTGAGTCTCTGCGTGAATGAGTCTCTGCGTAAATGCGACCCTCTCTGTGCGAGCCTCTGAGTGAGTCTCTTTGTGAGTCTCTGATTTCTTATTGAGTCTGTGAGTCTCTGTGCGAGTCTCTGTGCGAGTATCTGTCCGAGTGTCTGTCCGAGTATCTGTCCGAGTCTCTGTCCGAGTCTCTGTGTTACTGAGTGAATCTCTGAGTGAGTCTCTGAGTTAGTCTCTGAGTGAGTCTCTGAGTGAGTCTCTGAGTGAGTCTGTATCTGTGAGTCTGTGCGAGTGAGTCTCTGTGCAAGCCTCACTGGGTATGAGAGCCACAGGCCTCACTCTCAGTGAGGAGCCCATGGTGAGCAGGAGGTCGGCGCCGCTCTCGCGGTCGCTCCGAACTGCTCGGTGGAATTGGGGGGGAAGATTCTCCCCGAAGAAAATCACCCCGGGCTTGAGCACGGCCCCCCGCTCGGACGGGGGGCACACGGGGCACAAGGGGACCCGCTGAGGAAACACGGAGTAGTGGGGGGCACGTGGGGAGACAGAGACACGGAGCGGGGAGACAGACCTCACGGAGTGGGGAAGCGCGTGGAGAGACAGAGATACGGAGTGGGAGGCACGAGGAGAGGCAGATACACGGAATGGGGGGGGGGGGCACAGACATGGAGTGGGGGGGGCATGGGGAGACGGAGACACAGATGGGGGGGGGGGCAGGGAGACATTTACAATCAATGTCCCTACGCGTTTAAAGTGTTTGGCTGCTGCAATAAATTTCCACATGATGATGACATTAGCCACTTGTTTGAGCTATCATTTCAGTGGGGCCTTACCTGGTAAAATAAAAAAATAGTTTATAGTTAAGAGGACGCTGTCGCAAGAGGTCACACTTTTGGCGCAACGCTCCTTCACTGACCGTGCGTGGATGAATGAGTGATGGGGGATGGGAGTCTGAGGAATGGAGGGGGGGGGTTTGGGGGATGTGGGGGGTGGGGTCTGGGGGATGGGTGGCTTTTGGTGATTGAGGAGTGGAGTCGTAAACACAACAGGGACTGCCAAAATCGTTAATTATCGTGACTAGTTAATCGCAGCGACTCCCCTCTGTACCCCCCCCCAACTACCCCCAGTGTCCCCCCACCAAACCCCCCCCTTGTTCCCCCCCCCCCCCACCTGTCTCTCCACGTCGTCGCGGATGTCGTCGCTTGACACTTTGTGTCCACAAACTAGACACGAGGCCCAGTCAAACGAGCCTGAGGCACACGGGGGAGACACGGGGAGACACACGGACATGGGGAGACATGGAGACACGGGGAGACACGGAGACACGGGGTGAGACGGAGACAGTAAAACACAAAGTTAGCCTTTCTCTCCAATCGGCCCATGTCGCCGTGTTTATTTCTCCCCGTGTCTCTCTCTCCATATCCCTCTCCCCATAACTCTGTCTCCCCGGGTCTCTCCCTCTCTCCCCGGGTCTCTCCCTCTCTCCCCGTGTCTCTCTCCCCGTGTCTCTCTCCCCGTGTCTCTCTCCCCGTGTCTCTCTCCCCGTGTCTCTCTCCCCGTGTCTCTCTCCCCGTGTCTCTCTCCCCGTGTCTCTCTCCCCGTGTCTCTCTCCCAGTGTCTCTCTCCCAGGGTCTCTCTCCCAGTGTCTCTCTCCCCGTGTCTCTCTCCCCGTGTCTCTCTCCCCGTGTCTCTCTCCCCGTGTCTCTCTCCCCGTGTCTCTCTCCCCGTGTCTCTCTCCCCGTGTCTCTCTCCCCGTGTCTCTCTCCCCGTGTCTCTCTCCCCGTGTCTCTCTCCCCATGTCTCTCTCGCCCCGTGTCTCTCTGTGTCTCTCACCATGGCACTGAATCACCCGCGTCACGCCGGCCTGCGTCTCCAGGCCGTCGATGTTCTGGCTGTAGTTCCTTAGCAGTTGCCCCTCTTTCTCCAACTGTGCGACGAAACGGTGACTCAGGGAGGGAGAGAAGCGCCCAGGAAACATCTCCTGTGAGAGAGAGAGACGTGTGAGGAGCGACACACAGGGAGAGAAGAGACAATGAGAAAGACACGGAGAGAGAGGGACACGGGGGTAGTCACACGGGGGGAGAGACACGGGGGGAGAGACACGCGGAGAGAGACATGGGGGGAGATACACGGGGTGAGACGCGTTTGAGGAGCGACATACAGGGAGAGAACGAGACAATGAGAAAGACACGGAGAGAGAGAGACACGGGGGAGTCACACGGGGGGAGAGACATACGGGGAGAGACAAGCGTAGAGAGACATGGGGGGAGATACACGGGGTGAGACACGTGGGGGGAGCGACACATAGGGAGAGAAGGAGAGAAAGAGACAATGAGAAAGACACGGAGAGAGAGAGACACGGGGGGAGTCACACGGGGAGAGAGACACGCGGGGAGAGAGACATGCGGAGAGAGACATGGGGGGAGATACACGGGGTGAGACACGTGGGGGGAGAGACACTTGCGGAGACACAAGGAGAGACAAGGAGACATGGGAAGAGAGAGGGACACATGGGGAGAGAGACATGGGGGGAGAGATATGTGGGGAGAAAGACAGGGAGACTGAGAAAAACAGGGAGAGGCATGGCGAGAATCAACTAAAGTGCTCAAACACTCACTCACACACTCACTCCATCCCTCTCGCACAGAGACTTCCACACACAGCTAGCGCCACCGCTCCCCCGTGAACTCTGACCCTGGCAAACTTGTAGAAAGGTCGCGGATCGGAGGTGAAGTGCTGGAGGTCGAAGAGAGCCTGGGGGTCACGCAGGTCGGGGAACTCGGCGTGAATCCGGGAGAAGAGGCCGGAGCCGGGAGACCGGAAATCCGGAATGCCACACGAGACTGAGACCTGGGGAGGGTGGTGGGACAGGAGGGAGGGAGGGAGGGTTTATTGCTGCCCAGCAGCAAAAGACTTGTACGTATGTCGAAGTAGCCAACTATGCTAATCAGAGGTAGTGTATAGTAGTGTCGTGTATAATAGTGTAGTATATAGTGTTGTGTATAGTAGTGTACTGTATAGTGTGTCTTTGTGTCTTTCTTTTGTCAATTCTTTTGTCAAGGCGCTCTTCCCCCTCCAACCCAGCTTAAATATACGCTCCAAGCCTGGTGGTGTTTCATTCAGACGCTGTCTTTCCGACAGACCTGTTCTTCACCTGAGGACGGCTGCTTGCGTTGTGGCCGAAACGTCGTGAGAATTATTTTATTATGTTTTATTTTCATTATTTTATTATTTCCCTTCGACGTGACTTTACCGAAAGAACCAAGATGAATCCCTGCAGTCACGAAAGCTTTAAATCGAAATTTACTGTATAGTAGTGCAGTACATAGTAGTGTAGTGTATAGTAGTGTATAGTGTTTTGTATAGTTGCGTGTATGTAGAACTTCTTTCACACCGCACGTAGCCAACCGTGCTAATCCGAGGTGCAGAGGGAAGGACAACAAACTAAACAACAAACTAAACAACAACAAGCAGCAGTTCTAAAGAAATTCGGTTGTCAATCGAGATGATGATGATTTAAAAGTGGCAGCAGTGGCTTCCTATTATCGGAAGGGAAGAGCGTTCCAGACGTCCGCAGAAGCGAATTTGAAAGCGCCGCGCGATGATTACGATGCGGTGACCACCGTCTTTGCTCGATGGCCGGCCAGAAAGCCATCAATCTCACCGCCACTGCCACCTCAGCCATCACACACAACACACCCCTACACGGTCTCGAACAATGGCACCTCCCATATTCTGTTCATTCTCTTCTTCCAGTCTACAATTATTCTACAATTTCCCGATACGATTCCTTTCATAAGGTCTCCCACCTGTTACCCGTAGCTCAAAGATTAATTGTAGATTTGCCTCAACTACATGCACTCTACAAACTAAACTGGACATGCGGAGGCAAAAACCATAGGATCCCAGGGAAAAATCATCAATCTCCCCATCTCCCTCTCTTTCCCCAATTTCTCCCCCATCTCTCTCCACATCTCCCCCATCTTTCTCTCCCCCCCCATCTCTCCATCCATCTTTCTCCCCACCTACTCCCTCCCGATCTCCATCACTGACCCCAGCTCAAGTGAGCACCACAACTCTCTCATCTCTCTCCATCATTTCCTCTCTCCCCATCTCTTCTCATCTCTCCCCATCTCCTCCTTCCCCATCTCTCTCCCCATCTCTTCCCATCTCTCTATCCATCCACACCCCCCAATCTCTCTCCATCCACATCTCCCCCTTTCTCTCCACCACTCTGTCTCCATCCCTCACCCCGGCTCCCGTGAGCACCACGACCCTCTTGGCGTTCCTCAGCAGCTCGACGACAGCGTCGATGCCCCCCCCGTCCGCTATCCTCCTCCTCGTCCTCCTCCTCGTCCTCCTCATCAGTGCCACCTCCTTCCGCCGGCGCCTGCGAGAGGCCGCCTCCGACTCAGACAGAAGCCGTAGCAGCAGCAGCCTCTGCCACAGCGATGATGAGGAGGCGGAGGAGGCGGTGGTGGGGGAAGCAGCTGCGGCAGCGGCCGCACACAGAGGTAGTGGCCCAGCTCCACCTCCAACTTTTCCAGGCGCTCCTCCACCACCTCCTCCTCCAACTTCTCCATTTCCACCACCTCCACCATCTTCTCCTTCAGGTCCGCCTCCACCAGGTCCAACTTTTACAGCTCCACCTCCTCCACCATCGTCTCCTCCTCCAGGTCCACCTCCTCCTCCACCATCTTCTCCAGGTCCACCTCGTCCACCAGCACCATCTCCACCATCCCCATGTCTCTGTCTCTCCTCTTCCTCCTCTTTCTTCACGTGTCTCGCAGAGACACCAGGGACAGATTTCTCCAGACAAACTGGACACGTGGAGAGAAGGAGATGCAGGGGGAGGAGGGAGAGACACGGGGTAAAGCCCACCGAGTTAGTATTAGCTGCTGTGAAAAGAACCTGGCGTCTGGGGACCTCTTGGATGGGGCACTACGGTGGCTCAGAGATGTTAACAACCTTGCCTGGTGTACAGAAGTTCGTAGGTTCGGGTCCGACCCTGACGATGCCTGCTGTATATTTGGAGTTTGCGTCTCTCTCTCATCATCACGGCGGCTAGGAGATGTTAACAACCTCGCCTGGTGTACAGGTCGTGGGTTCGATCGCGACCCTGACAATGCCTGCTGTATATTTGGAGTTTGCATCTCTCCCTCATCATCATCACGGTGGCTAGGAGATGTTAACTACCTCGCCTGGTATACCGGAGGTCGTGGGTTCAATACTAACCCTGATGATGCCTGCTGCATATTTTTTGTACTAGTAAGGAGTTGGCATGTTCTGTTTGCGTGACAAGCCTTACTAGTTGACCGTGTCAGGTGGTGGCGGGTTTAGCGGCACCTTTATATTTACGCGATCAAACCCACAAACAAAACCTATATTATGCATATTTGAAGTCCGCGTCGTCTCTCTCTCCCCGTGGTGGTCACTGCGTGTTTTTTTTCTCCGTGGTACTCCATTTTTTCTCGTCCACATTTAGAATCAACGTCACCACCCGTTGGGGGCCGTCCATAAATGACGTCACGGGATTTTGGACGATTTTTTACCCCCCCCCCCCAAAAAAAAAATCATGCTTCAAATCGCTTTAAACTATTGTCATTGTAGTGCGTATTTAATGTGGCGCTGCACTCTGATGTTGTAGAAAACATTTATTAAAAAGTATATTTAATTAAGTAGAACGTGTTGTCAATTTCTCAAACCCCCCCCCCCCTCGTCACAAATGTCTGACCCCCCCCCCCCCCAGGTGCGTGACGTCATTTATGGACGGTCCCTTATGCAATTTGTGCTTATACACTTTATCTATTATAAGTACTGTATTTATTTTTAGTGATTTGTTTACCTTTCCTCTGCTTTGCGCCCCTATTCTGTTTGTGTACTATTGATTGTTTTTGTAAATGTCTGACCCCCGTGTGCCCGTAACTGTCCGGAACATCTTTGAAAAAGAAAAAAAATTAACCCGTAAAAAAAAGTTTTTCACTCTAAACCTTTATATGCATGGCGGCTAGAGTCCTCTCGTCCTCTGGCTTGAGATGGCTGCCACCTATGGGTCAGATGATTGCCTGCCACCATTAAGCAATTGGTAATTAAATATAATTTCTTTTTTCCTAAAAAGTGTAAAATTTTGGAAAAAAAATTTCACAAAAATAAATTGTCACGCACAACGAGTCTGTGTGCAAAATGTCAGCTCGATTGGATCACGGGAAGTGGGTTAAAAAACGACCGAAAGATTTGCACGGTCGTAAGCATGCAAGCAAGTGAACTTAATATAAAGGATTTAAAAACGACCGAAAGATTTGCACGGTCGTAAGCAAGCAAGCAAGCGAACTTAATATAAAGGATTTAAAAATGGATATGTATTTCCCCCTTTCGTCCCCTCTGCTTTATCAATGTTGATTCCTGTCACCAAAGTACACTGATTTCAAACTCTCTTCGATCGGCACAGTACCACCTTCGCTTCTCATCGTCAGATTAATAAACTTGACGTCTACAAAATGAACAGCTTTTTCTCAGCTACCCCAGGTGGGACTCGAACCCACAATCCCTGGCTTAGGAGGCCAGTGCCTTATCCATTAGGCCACTGGGGCTACATGTAGCATGATGAAAACCTGGCTTATGTACAGACTTCTTAAATAAACTCACAATAAAAAAAGACATGTTTTTCCCCTTTCGTCCCCTCTGTTTTATTCATGTTGATAATAGTTTTTTTTTCCTAAAAAGTGGAAAATTTTGGGGAAAAAGTTTCACGAAAATTAATTGTCACGCACGAGTCTGTGTGCAAAATGTCAGCTCGATTGGATCATGGGAAGTGGGTTAAAAAACGACCGAAAGATTTGCACGGTCGTAAGCAAGCAAGCGAACTTAATATAAAGGATTTTAAAAACGCCACTTTTTTCAAAATTTCTTCCTGTGATTTTCACACCTGATTTCTTGTGTTGCAGTCGAAACGTCGTGATAAATTGTTTTATTTTTATTATTTCCCTTCTACGTAACTTTACCGAAACAACCAAGAATACAAGCTTCATAGTTAATCGTATTTCTCCAGGATAAATATAAAATATTCTGATTCTGAATGCAACCTGGTATACCACTACGGCCTCCATGTTAGTAAGGGGGGGGGGGGGCACAGCCTCCATGTTGGTAGGGGAGTTGACGTCACCAACCGGAGACCTGGCGCGTGCATGCGTCGCCATTTCAACCCTCACCCAACATGGCCGCCCCTTCCTTTCGCGCAACCCAACTCGCGCGCCGATTGGCCGGTTTGAACGCCCCACGTGACGAGCGGCCAACCAATGAGGAGGAAGCCAAAGAGAGGCGAGGGGTGCGACATGGGGGGGGGAGGGGGCAGGGGAAACGCAGAGGGGAGACCCCCACCAATCGAGGAGACGACGGCAGCCGCCGCAGCCGCCACGCTCGGCAGTCGCTGCTCCTCGCCGCTCGCCTCCCGCGTCGTCGTCTTCTCCTCCTCGTCGTCGTCGTCGTCCGCCGTCGCTTCGAGGCGCCGCCTCTTGGCGGGAGGCGTTCGATCGGCCGTCGCCATCTTGGGCGCCGGTGTTAATAAATTATTTGTCACTTCCGGTTCCGGTCGTGGCTTCGAGTGAGCAAATAATGAATAATTAATGTACAATATTAATTAAGGACGGTGTTTACGTATTAATAGTCACGCTAAACGAAACCAAAAATAAGATCTTACGCGAAAAGTCTCGTAACAGAATGCATCTTAAAAAAAATAAATTCACAGCGTCTAAGCCCCGCCTCTTCCGGCGGTGGCCCGTTTCCGCTTCCGCTCGGCTCTGAAGAAATAAATAATAAATAATTGTAATAATGATTAACATACTAATAAATAACAATGTTCACGTATTAATATTCACGCGAACGGAAATCGCCTTAAACAAAAGTCGCATATCGATATTCCGATCAATAAAGAAAATAAAAACCGTGCGTAAGCCCCTCCTCTTCCGGTACTCTTCCGATTTCCCTCCGCTCCAATCGAATAGTAACAATTAACTTTTAGTTAATATTAATATAATTTTTTTTTATTCACAAATCCTTTCATAGAAAATCAAAAAGCGCGGGGCGGTGTATTAATCGACGTGAATAAAAAGTTATTTAAAAAAAGCCGCCACGATAAACGTAACCCCGCCTCTTCCGGTTACGCTCAGACTCGCCCATAGAAGAAAGGGACACCTGCCGTGATGCACCTAGCCTGGCACCGCGTGATGCACCTAGCCTGTCACCGCGTGGTACACCTAGCCTGGCACCGCGTGATGCACCTAGCCTGGCACCGCGTGATGCACCTAGCCTGGCACCGCGTGGTGCACCTAGCCTGGCACCGCGTGATGCACCTAGCCTGGCACCGCGTGATGCACCTAGCCTGGCACCGCGTGGTGCACCTAGCCTGGCACCACGTGATGCACCTAGCCTGGCACCGAGTGATGCACCTAGCCTGGCACCGCGTGATGCACCTAGCCTAGCACCGCGTGATGCACCTAGCCTAGCACCGCGTGATGCACCTAGCCTGGCACCGCGTGGTGCACCTAGCCTGGCACTGCGTGTGAAATGTTAACTACCTCGTCTGGCACCACGTGATGAACCTAGCCTGGCACCACGTGATGCACCTAGCCTGCACCACGTGATGCACCTAGCCTGCACCACGTGATGCACCTAGCCTGGCACCACGTGATGCACCTAGCCTGCACCACGTGATGCACCTAGCCTGGCACCGCTTGGTGAACCTAGCCTGGCACTGCGTGTGAAATGTTAACGACCTCGCCGGGTATGCAAGGAGGTCGTGGGCTGGATCGCGATCCTGACGCCTGCTGCTGCTGCTGTGGTTTTGTGGTTGGAGGCTGCACGCGTCTAGAGCCCCGTGGTCGCAGTGTATTTCCCTAAGAGGCCCACCGGGTTTTCCCTCCCAATCTATAAAAGTACCTTTTAGAAATAGTTTTTTGGCTGCTATAAATGAACCTTATGGCGGGAATCTCCGGGGTCCCGCAGAAACGGAAGTAAAAATCTTTAATTTTGGCGACTCCGTCCCACCGCGCACATCAAATTTCCATTTATTAGGTACATGTACTAGCTTTACTACCCTTTACTACACTACACTATACACCACACTATACACTACACCACACTATACACTACGACTAGCTTTACTACCCTTTACTACACTACACTATACACCACACTATACACTACACCACACTATACACTACGACTAGCTTTACTACACTACACTATACACCACACTATACACTACACCACACTATACACTACACCACACCACACTATACACTACAGCACACTATACACTACGACTAGCTTTACTACCCTTTACTACACTACACTATACACTACACCACACTATACACTACACCACACTATACACTACACCACGCCACACTATACACTACACCACACTATACACTACGACTAGCTTTACTACCCTTTACTACACTACACTATATGGAGTACCGGTGAAGACGCTTGACGCCGAGGTTGAGGCACACGTATATTTATTTAACAATACGACAGTGGGCATATACACACTCGAGGGGGTATCGGCCCCCTCACCCGTATAACTCGGGATACACCCCTAGCTAACTCTGTCCTAGCCCCGAATCCTCCACTAATGGGCTAGGGGAGGCTAACTGGCCCGACACTGGTAAGTCGGGCCCGGTACCCGGAGTTCCAGACCAGCTCTTACAAGAGCACCGGCTCTGGCTTTCGGGACCACGCCGCTGGCTCAGTCCTGTCCGGCCCTGAAAAGGACATCGAACTAGGGGAGTCCAGGGCTCTATCTAAGACGTCTTCAGTCTTCTTCCCTTAGCTTAAACATAACTGACTCGAGCCCTTTGAACATCCCCTTTTATACCCAACCCCTCCCTGAGGGGTGGGGCCCCGGGGGATCATAACGTTCGAACCAGCCCCCCCCAGGGTGTCTGGCTCGGACGTCGTAGAGGGCACCTCCTCGTGCACTTACGTAGCCCCGCCCACTGTGTTTGTTTTCCATAGGCTGCCATGCATAACGGGCCCTCTCTTTAACACCCCTACATATACACCACACTATACACTACACCACACTATACACTACGACTAGCTTTACTACACTACACTATACACCACACTATACACTACACCACACTATACACTACACCACACCACACTATACACTACAGCACACTATACACTACGACTAGCTTTACTACCCTTTACTACACTACACTATACACTACACCACACTATACACTACACCACACTATACACTACACCACGCCACACTATACACTACACCACACTATACACTACGACTATCTTTACTACCCTTTACTACACTACACTATATGGAGTACCGGTGAAGACGCTTGACGCCGAGGTTGAGGCACACGTATATTTATTTTACAATACGACAGTGGGCATATACACACTCGAGGGGGTATCGGCCCCCTCACCCGTATAACTCGGGATACACCCCTAGCTAACTCTGTCCTAGCCCCGAATCCTCCACTAATGGGCTAGGGGAGGCTAACTGGCCCGACACTGGTAAGTCGGGCCCGGTACCCGGAGTTCCAGACCAGCTCTTACAAGAGCACCGGCTCTGGCTTTCGGGACCACGCCGCTGGCTCAGTCCTGTCCGGCCCTGAAAAGGACATCGAACTAGGGGAGTCCAGGGCTCTATCTAAGACGTCTTCAGTCTTCTTCCCTTAGCTTAAACATAACTGACTCGAGCCCTTTGAACATCCCCTTTTATACCCAACCCCTCCCTGAGGGGTGGGGCCCCGGGGGATCATAACGTTCGAACCAGCCCCCCCCAGGGTGTCTGGCTCGGACGTCGTAGAGGGCACCTCCTCGTGCACTTACGTAGCCCCGCCCACTGTGTTTGTTTTCCATAGGCTGCCATGCATAACGGGCCCTCTCTTTAACACCCCTACATATACACCACACTATACACTACACCACACTATACACTACACCACACTATACACTACACCACACTATACACTACGACTAGCTTTACTACCCTTTACTACACTACACTATACACCACACTATACACTACACCACACTATACACTATACCACACCACACTATACACTACACCACACTATACACTACGACTAGCTTTACTACCCTTTATTACACTACACTATACACCACACTATACACTACACCACACTATACACTACACCACACTATACACTACACCACACCACACTATACACTACACCACACTATACACTACGACTAGCTTTACTACCCTTTACTACACTACACTATACACCACACTATACACTACACCACACCACACTATACACTACACCACACTATACACTACGACTAGCTTTACTACCCTTTACTACACTACACTATACACCACACTATACACTACACCACACTATACACTACACCACACCACACTATACACTACACCACACTATACACTACGACTAGCTTTACTACCCTTTACTACACTACACTATACACCACACTATACACTACACCACACCACACTATACACTACGACTAGCTTTACTACCCGGCTTCGCCCGGGACTTGGATTCATCACACCCGGCCGCCTTTGTCTCCCCAGTGGCGATGTTCACACACCACACCAGTTACTGGTTTGAGGCTGAGTCGACCTAGGGGTTAAAATAATCGTCACCGGTGGTGGCCGTGAGCGGGAATCGAACTCGGGTCGCCGGGTTCGTAGCGCAGCGTAGCGCTAACCACAATGCGTTACGCTTCCACGTGCGCGGGTCACGTGGCAGATGTGACGTCACAGCTCACTTGCCGTGCAAAAAATATTTGCATTATTGAGCTCCCCCCCCCAAAAAAAAACACACAAAAGTGTATTTTTATAATTTTTGCATGGCGTACAGTCTGCAAAGTACCCTCATGGAAAATTTCAAGTTTGTTGCATGTCGGGAAGTACACTAAACATTTTGAACAGACATAATCACAATTTTGCCTTTTATATCTATGGAGATGGAGATTGCCCTGTGAGCCATGCGGCTCGTGAGTCGGGTGCAACCGCAACAAACAAAACATGAACAGAGAACATCTTAAAGCGACGACGCGCAACGGAAACATTCTCGGATAAACGAGCAAACTTTCCAGAAAGACAAAAAACTCCGCGACCCACCTGGCGCGGATCAGTCTGTCGTCATGTCGTCCCAGCGAATGCGCAGAAGAAACGAAACTTTGGAATTCTAGATTTGAAGCATTCGTGACTGCAAGGATTCATACTCTTAGGTTTTTTCGGTAAAGTCACGTAGGTAAAAATAATAATAAATGAAAATAACTCAATTAAATCAGTTATTTTCATTTATTTTTATTTTTTTATCTACGTGACTTTACCGATAAAACTTTGGAACTTTGATTAGCACATTGTGTAGAGCTCGTCGAGAGGATTAGATTGTCGTATCGTTCGACTTCAACAAACATAAAATGATGTCGCAACGCAGTTATGGGATCTTGGGGTCTCGCCATACGGTTCAAATGTCCACGTGATAAGTCACTTCTGTAAGCTATCATTTGTTGG